ATAGGATTTTTCATTAAGTGATGTGTAGTTTTTGTATGGTAGATCAGAGCTCAACAGATTTAAGGAAAATACCATCGTTGTTATTGATGTAATATTAAAATATATTTTTAATATTACGAAGCTATAAAAAGGCGGATGAGAAACTGGAACCTAATGAAATCAAAATGAAAACATTGCCACTTACCCAATCAGTCATACTTATATTTGCTCATCCATGCATTCATTCACTGACCTATAAAATCCTAGGCTGACAGTGGCAGATGTAGAAATGAAGTTATCAAATTAAGTATGACACAAGTTAATAAGATCTTGAATTGGACAACATAACTCAGTGTGCTATTGACATTTTTTGTGTAAATAATTTTTGGTCACACTTTATTTTAACGTCCAATTCTTGCTATTAACACAGCATTAACTACGACTTTTGCCTCAGTAAACTCCTAATTTGCTGCTCATTAATAGTTAGTAAGGTAGTGGTTAAGTTTAGGTATTGGGTAGGATTAGGGATATGGAATATGGTCATGCAGAATATGTACTTTATAAGTACTAATAAATAGCCAATGTGTTAATAATAGGCATGCTAATAAGCATTGAGAATTGGTCCCTATATTAAAGTGTTACTGATTAGCAACTTATACACAGACAAACACACAAAGATGGACACATATTCAAAGGCAAACCTGCATACAACATGTACTGTAAAAAAGATATGGAAGAAAAATGAGGACAGTATGTGTGGGTTTACACAGCTATACTTTATAAGTTAGCTAAACCTTACAAAACCACCCTTTGGTTACATCCCGCAGACAAAAATTCATGAATAAAACAAATCTAAAATTGCATTATAAAAATGATAAAAGCAAAGTTAACTTTTAGGAGCAGGAATTTATATGTCATTGTAATTAGTTTAATGCAATATTTATTTCCAGTCCTCTAATCTGATTGGACAAGCAGGGTTCAAGAGTTTATGTCACTCCACCAGTCTGTGTCCCACTGTGTTCCAGACAAGAGCATGTGAGTGGTGATAAGGGAAAGAGGAACTTGTCATATTGCTTAATTATATAAAAACAATAGACATCTATATGAACACATTTAGACAGCTAAGTAAACGAGTGTGAGAGTGTGTGACTGCTCACAAGACACCGTTGTTGCTATAGTGTCATTTTGCATATATATGTAAAAAAAAATCAATATGCACTACAGGGGGAATGAATGACGTTCTTTCATTTGGCAGTTAGCCTGGATTGATTTGCTCTAAAGAGTCATAGATGCATAAGAACTAATACAGCTTAAATAAGCCTTTTCATCATCTACAGGCTTTTCCTTTACATTATATACAGATCTTTCTTGTGTTTGCATTTCTCATTTGGTCAAACATAAACATATCGAAACTCTGGCTTACTCTACTTAGCATACCTGGGAATAAATGAAAACGTCATAAACAAGACATGATAATAGACACTATGTACAATAACATTGCATTTTCATCTTTCAAAAGACACACACTGCATTATGGTCTATTCATAGCTTCATTCTACAGATTAGATCTGTTGAGGAATGAAGGCACAAAACAATTAAAGTCTTAATTACAATATTCCTTGGCTGAAATGAATGGGGTTTCTCAAATGGTGACGGAATGAAAGAGTAAACAAAAGAAAGAGAGAAGATAAAAAGAGACAGGGTCTCAGATGACTTGCAAAGGTCAGAGACATGGTTATGTGTTGTTTCCTTCATTGGAAGCGGACCACTTTCCAGTTATTTTTAGGTCTGATAATAACACAAGACCTAAGGAGCTGTCAATCACATGCTGGCATTCTTAAGAGACATACTGCAAGCTGACCTTTAACCCAATCATCACAGAGGGACTGACAGAAAGAGAATGCTGTCAAGTTATGTATCTGCTGCCCAATGCTGACCGATCTCAGAAAGAGTCTGTGAAAGATTGACACAATCTTCAGCATTAATATATCCTCTTATACTCACTCACACACACTTACACAACGTGGGTGGTATGAATGTGTTCACAGAGCAACAGTAGAAATGTGTAAATATTTCTCACAAGAACATATATCCACATGCCTATGATTGGGCAGGACTGCCTTCCAACATTTACACACAGAAGTGAAAAAAATATAGCGGAACGAGTCCCAAACGAGTCAAGACAAGGGACAACTTCTGTGCAGGAAAGATATCATGATCATATATATGTTTGTGTATCATGATATAAGATTTTGACCATACTGTACAACGCACCATTGGCTCACACTTAACCTTGAGCTGTAACAACTGTTCATTCAGACATGCTTCTATTAAGCCACATCATGGAAAGCTTCTCCATTGCATAAACGAAGTTATTTTTAAGTATTACTTTGTGGTTTCATGTACACACACACACACACATTCACAGCAGGTACAAAAGAAAAGCTGCTCATCAGGGCTCGATTTAAAGAGCTGACTTGCCACGCAAAACTTCATCCGATGACAGTTATAAAAGCTCAGTTTCTCAATAACGTGTGGAGAAAATGGTAAAGAGAGAAAAGAGAGAAGGAAATAGGCTGTAAAGAAGGTCAGTACAAATTATTTACTGTTGTTTTCAGCAGAATCTAACACAACAAGGGCATGAATTCTAGACTTGTCTCTGAGGGAACCCACTAACCCAGAAAATATCAGCAGTGAAACACATTAAACAAACTGACACTGACATTCCCCTAAAAAGCCCAGAACAACTTTATCAGTGGGTCCTATTTAGATGTACTTTTTCCTCACTATTTTACACCCACACAAGCAAGTCCATCATGCCCTAGACATTGAAAGAAATGCACAATCTTTTTTTTCCAAATTCCATTTTAATTTTTTTGGGTTCCGTTTTTTCCATTTGAATTTTTCTAGACTAATTTTTAATGGTAAAATTAAATTTTATTAAGCAAAAAGCATGTCTAATGAATTGAAATAGAAACTTACACAATTTAACATCAATTTATTAAAAGTTTAACGAAAATTACATTTGTAAAGCCCTATGAAATACTTTTTTTGTTGCTCAAATTCAGTTTTATTATTATTATTATTTATTAATTTTTTTTTACCAAATTTCCATTAATTTTCTGGATTCAATTTAAATAATTTCATTAAAATGTAATAATCAAAAACATCTCTAAATAATTGAATTTATTAAAAAAAAAAAATTCCAGAAATACTGTGTTGTATATTCACATTTTTATGGTAAAAATGTCTGGTAAATATTATTTAAAAATACTTTTTTTTTAATAATAATTTTATTAGTAGCAGTGGTACTATATTACATTATGTAATATATTTCTGTCACAGTTTCTTCGTTAAACCAAACTTTTATTTTGATGGGATTTTGTGAAGCCCTTTAAGTTTCTCTGTTTATATGATATGACCATCATGAAGTGACTCTGTTCTAGAGATTATGTTCATCTGTTCATGTACTCATATATTGAGGCGGCAGGGGCTGAAAACACTGTGAGAGTCACGCACGCTTTTGTATGTGTGTAGTAAACACTCGTTCACAGACAAATTTTTTTTGTATTTACCCAAAATGAGTTTTAAGACCCTTGTAATATATTTAATAAATGTCAAGGCTTAAACAAAATATATTATACATTTGAATTTTTTTTATTTATGAAGAGAAGAGAAGAGAAGAGAAGAGAAGAGACTAATACAGGATAGAAAGCTCTATGAAAATCTTGAAGCTGAAGCACTTTGATCTCCTGGCAGGCCTGTCACAAATTCTAAAGGTAACAAGTCAAATGCGATCAAGCAAAAAATCCAACTTAATTTGTCTTAGAAATTTCCTTCAGTCTGAGCTACGAGGATCTGTGTGAGTACATGGCAAGTACATATAGAAAACTAGGATACACACACACACACACACACACACACACACACACACACTGACCAATCAACCAAAATAATGGCAGTCAGCTCCAATTTCCATTTGCTGTAGACCCCACAGAAATCATTCATGGGAAATAACAAGGCTTTCTGTGCCTCACTGTCTGTGAGTATGTGTGTGATATCTCTTTTATCAACGTGCAGGCAGAGCATGAAATATGAAACCTCAGGTGAAAAAATACTCTCAGGATAACACCCTAAACTAAGCACACACTTGTAGACTCTGCAGAGTATGTGATAGATATAGAGGAACAGGCTGTTTTTTTCCCAGCTAATGAGTCTTACACTGCAAAAGACATGTCTGAGAAAACAGCTGCTGTGGGCCAATCAGTAGTGATTACTCAGCACTCAGAGTCTGTGTCTGTGAGTGAAAGTGTCTGAAGAACTTACCCGGATTCTTCTCATAGCAGCGACAATCTCCATTCGACTGTTGGGTCTTGGGACGTCCAGACTGCCAACATACTGCAAAAGAAACACATGCTTCAATGTTAGATGAAGAGCATTCTGTTTAAACTCTGTTATTAACTGCAACAGAGGAATCACCCAGACTAAAATTAATGAGGCAGCTTCATTTGCACAAACACATGCAAACACACTTTCTAGGTTAATGAGTGCCAAGTTACTTTTGCATTGGCAGGACACTGGCAGCCTCATTTCTCAAACTCTATTTATGCTTAAATGTTCATCTAAATCAGTGATTCTCAATTGGTTGTGCTTCAATGCCCACATTTAGATAAATGGTGGTGACCATACTAAAGTTGTTTATTTTACAATGGTAAACAACAAATGTTCTTAAAAGCAAACATTAATATGTATCAATATTGCCAAGAACTGCATAAGCCCAACAATATGCAAAGATAAAAAGACGAACTGACAATTTTGCACATTTGTGACCCTGGCTGTGAAAACAGCTAAAGTAATTTTTTATGATTTTCTACTGTTTTCTATATAAAATCATCCTTCATAAGGTAAAGAACATTGTGTGAAAATATAAACCTTAATATCTTTAATATTGACTGAGTAAGGCCATGTCATAGACTGAAATCATAGTGAAATAAATGGTTAAAATTAAGCTTTGATGCTTGTTATCTCATAATTAGATTATGAGACCTTTGCCTGGATTTCACAGACAGGGTCACATTTCAAAATAACATCAGTAGATGTTAGCCTGTTCAAATCTGCATTGCTTCAAGTTTCATTATTTGCATACACAATCAAAACAAATCTGTAACCCTTTGCTGAACTGGTCAGATTTAGAATTGGCAAGAAATTAATGAGGACTGAAATGATCGTTTTACATACTTCACTTACCAAAAATTCACAGCAAATGCATAAAACCCTCAAGCAATCACCTAGAACACCATTTCCATTTTCTTTAGGAAATGACAAATCTAGTTTTACATACAGTTTACCCAAGGGTACAAAAATGGATAATTCTGTATCTATGACAATCACTGACTCAACATCACATATTTCTAAAATGTGAATAGATCAGTGCCAGCTTTAAACAACACGCTTAATCAAGTATAGGTTCAGTGTTTACAAACAAACTGTGTTCTTTCATGCTTGTAATGATCTGTTCTTAAGCTATACAGAAATGTTGACCTTAAATACTTATTTCCAGCTTCCACAGTCTAAATCCAGCAGAGAGGGACAGTACTACTGACAACAGTTCAGCAAAAATAGCAACTTATACAGCTGATTTAAGCTTTGAAAGACAAGACCGCAAGACTGCAGTCAGAATAATGTGAGTGGTTCTAGGTCTTGGCTTTCCAGCTTTGGCCAATACAATTCCTGGAAGATAATCCTGCTTCACAAAGTGGAGCTAAAATTACTCAGCAATAGGCTTCTGAGTGGCTCAGTATACAAAGCTTTAGGTTTCCTGAGGCATTTAGCTGTCTGCAGATTTGGAAAAACTTACAGAAAATCTCTCTGGGAAAACACCATCATTTATGACATGATTTTCAGTGCTCTTGCTATCAAGGCAGCTCGATGTATTTTGAGACACAGCCACTGAGTAGAGGTTTATTCAATGAAATGTTAAATACCAATGTCCCAGTCAAACCTAACCGCAGCTTCTGAAGAAACCAAATACCCTCCAAAGACGTCTCGGCTCAGTAAAATTACGAATGTAACCAGCCACGCAGCCATTACTGAGAAAGTTGAGCCAGACATCAAAAATAGTGTATAAGGGGGGAAAAAAACTCTTTGCATATACAGGTCAGTGACGTTTCTTGTCTTGATCTATTAAGTTAATCAAAAATACATTAATTACAAATTAACTTGTGAGCACGATGAATATATTTTCAGTTTCTAGTTTTAAATGAGTTTTAAACTCATTTTGATATTTTGGGGGCCTAAAGTATTAAAGTATTGATTGCAAAAGAATAAAGGCCTTAATTCTTGAGAAAAAAAAGAAAGAAATTAATTATTTTTTAATTATCATTTAATAAAACATTGTGATCACCTGATAAAAGCCAGCATGGCACAACCAACATCTAGAAAGCATTTGTTGTCATGTAACAAGAAAACTATTAAATAGAGATCATTATTATTACCATTATTTAAATATAATAGATTTTAAATATCTTACCTCTTTATGAAAATGCTTTTATACATCTGAAATGTAGTAATCCTAAAAAAAACTTTATATAAAATGTCTACATATTTGTAAAGAAAATATTATTACATTTAAATTTATTTTGATACTTTTTTAAAAATATATATGAAACCAAAATAAGTAAAGATTACGTTTTCTAAATGTAAAAAGATCTCTCCTTCTTTTTCCCCCAGACATTTTTGTCATCGACCCTAACGTCTACTCGGTGACATTTTTATTTGTTGGTGTCTAATGTCATCGCAGCAACCCAAAACATGATCCTGACTGTCTCGTGTGTAATTACTCTTGCTACACAGCCAATTACCCATTTGACATGCACGTACTCCATATGACTACATAAAAGTAGGCTATCGGTTAATAGTATGACCAGCAATAATAACAATGGCTATGTTTACAGTAGATATAGCCTAGTTCACCTTGGCTTGGAAGTGTATTCCGTGTTGATACGCTTCTTCGTTGTGAAGCGGGACTCGCGAATCCGCCACATCGTCCACCAGGTTGTACCTGTTTCTCCCGTGCATTTTCATTGGGACCCGTCCAGATGCTCGGCGAGAAATTTCATCAGCCAGTTCCCAAGCTTCAAAACTACTGCCAACTAAAAAGATTGCTCTAGTTTAACCAGCAGAAAACAAGTCGCGGATACAAGAGCGGTTCAAAGCGAGGGAGCCCATTATAGTAGCAGCCCGGGAAAAGCTGAATGAAATCACAGGCGCTTCAGCACAAAAGAAATGGGTTGGGCGCCTCTTTCCCCCTCTCTCAGCCCGCAGACATCAGCTGCGTTTATACAAGTCTGGCTTCGGCTCAAGTTGTTCAAGTGCCTCAGCAAGAAGTTTATTAAAAGAGGCGCTATGGGTGAATTCTGAATCCCAATGACAGGTTTTATTTGCGTTGCTCTCTTCAACCTCTGATGCAATTCTCATGGAGCAAAGTTCGGTCTGCTTAGGAACAACCTTCAAGTCTTTCAAACACCATAGTTGGCATAATAAAAGCAGTACTCCCTTATATTTCATAGATGAATTACAACACAATACACCCAGTTTCCATTAGCTTTATGCAAAATACCACGTAAAAAAAAACCATGGTAACGCTTGATTAGTCCTAGATTTTTGGTGCACTGCATAGCTACAAATTTGTTGATATACATAGCCTATATTTAATAGCTTCTGTTGCTCAGAAGATGGTTTGCAGACAGGTTTGGCCCAACTCCACAGTGAAGAGATCTGAATTTACAGAGGAGAGTTTTACTGGAGTGATTATGTGGGGAGAATGAGGCTAGTTAGCTACTTTTTACACCACTATTTTTTCAGAGTAGGTTAATTTCTCTCTAGACACACTGATTTTTAGTTGCTATAAATAAATGAATACATAAATAAATTATATTGGATATTTGCACCATTACTGCCAAGGAAATCTTAAAACAAACAAACAAACAAACAAATAAATTATAACAGTCAATTATAGCAGTGAATAAAGTGACAACTTTTGAAAATATAGAAACCATAGAAAATCTTAATGGGATACGTCACGCAAAAAAGTAAGTAAGTAGGTAAATAAATAAATAGATACATAAATACAAATAAAATAATAATAATAATAAAATAAAAAAGAAAGACCGAAAGAAAGAAATCATTTACTCGTCCTCATGTCATTCTAAACATTCTTTCTTCTGTGATTTGAGAAGGAGAGAAGGGGCGAAAGTCCCACTTTTCAGAAAAACATAATTTTAAAAGATAATGTTTTAGACAGAGATATATTTTTGCTGTGGTCAATAACTCACAAGTGTGGTCTATCACTACCAGGTGGTATTTTGTACAAATGTAAAAGGACTTCAGTATAATTTCACTTTGAACATAAGTTGTACATTGTTACTTTTGACCCCGTCTGTTGGGACGAAAGTAACACATCTTCTCCCTACTGGCCTCTGCCCTTCCTCCTGCAGTATCTGAGCAAAGTGACATGACATATGCCATGCGACTTAGCAGCTGCCCTGAGACTGATGTTCCTGACAGATATGTCCAGAAACGCCCTCTCATAAATATCTGGCTGAATCAGACCCCTGTCTGTCTTTCTGACCCTAACTCTTGGCATATTCTGTTGGTATAATATGACATAAACATGTTTTAATAAATGCTGCAACACCCAGAAAGTCACCACATTAGCAGCGGGACAAAAGTAACAAGTGTTACTTCCGTCCCGAAAGGAACTCCTGACATTTAAACCCGATTTACTTTTTTACTGAAAAACTCTGACGAGGCAAACTTTAGGATGTGTTACAGCACTAAATAACATGTAGATTGATCATTACTGTGACACATGAAACGAGAAACACAACTTGTAATTAGAAAAAAAAGTACAGCTTCAGTAATTTACTTACCGTACTTGAAAACTGCTTTCCGGACCTAACCGCGGGAAGCGATGACGAAATCACGTGATATTTGGCAGCTCCGTCAAGGGTTGAGTGCTGAACGTGCTGTCATAGCTTGGCATGAAAATGTAATCAGGTCTCTGAGAAAATCGCTTTGATACTTTCGTCCCGCATTACTTTCGCCCCGGTTCTCCCCAACTGTCTCCATACAAGAAATTTGTACATACAAACATTCTTCAAAATCTTTATTCCACGGGTTTGGAATGACATGAGTGAGTAAATCAGAATTTTCATTTTTGGTTGAACTACCCTGTAACTCTCTTCATACATCTGTGGAGATGAGTTTGTGTTCAAGTCACTGGGTACCGCAAAACATTACAGAGAGACCGTTAATGAGAAAAAGTGAGAGCTTCTTTTTTCAATATTGACACAAGTGCTCCCTCTGCTGCATCACAGAGGTATTATGGACACATTATGGGTTTCTTTTTGCATTATAGCAAGGGGACATAGCAAATACTGAAAATTTCTGAAATTCGTTTTTTTTTTTTAATTCTTGCTGTTAGATTGTAATGGCAAATAGAATAAAAGAATATAAATAAATGAAGTATTAAAAATAAAAATAAAGTAATTAGGCCTATAACAGATTGCAAAATAGAAGCATTTTCACGAATAGGCTCTGACTTGTGGACCCTACTGTATATACACATACACTGAGAGAAAGAGTGGAAAAAAAAAAAACATGTTCTGTAGCCTTCCACCGTCACAATCCTTCTGCTCACTGATTTTTCGCTTCGCGTATAGCGTGAGTCCAGTGCAATATGTGGCTGCCGTGTGCCTCTTCGGCTTCCGTTAGCTGCGTTGCGTTGTCAACAGGACCAAAACACCAGCAGCGACAACACACGGGAGCTTTACTCCTGGACTGTCCGCTGGCCATCAGCTGACACCTCACCTGTCCGCCTGCATTAACTCTCCCACGTCTTAGCAAATAGCAAGTAAACGGAATGCACGCGATGTTTTCATTTGGAGATACGACGTCCGTTTAAAAGCGCGAGAGCAGTCGGTGCACCTCACCGGCACTTTAAAACTGACGGGGAATGCGGTGATGCGCCCAGCCATGCGCTGCGCTCGTCTTCCTCATATTTATGCCGCGATATGTGCCGTTAGTTGAGTATTGCTTTATAGAGAATGGGATGAATTAGGCGCAATTGCGTTCATATGCAGCTTGTGGTATTATTACAGGTATAAGAACCCTTTTTTCCATTAAAAGGACACCGGACGGACACCTGTCCCGTTAGATCGCCATCAAAAATATTCAGCACACTGTAATGATGTGTTATCTTTCAGTGCTAATAACGTTCAGACTGTAATCATGGAGTCGGTGCGTCTTCACGCTAGTTTATCTGGCTCTATAGTTGGCTTTTATAGACTGGTTTCCCGTCTTTGTGCTTTAGTTTGGACAGCAGCAGCTGGTCCACATTAGCACCTCATGCTAGTACATTATCCTGACATATTCATCACATCTAAATGAGATAACAAACAATCCGGCCATTAGCTAACACTATGAGCGATCACTATGAGAGAGTGAAGATTGAGCTCCAGCAGATGAAGGAGGTGGAGAACGAGGCCGCGGCCGACGGGGAGCAGCTGTCCCCGGCCTCGGTCTCTCCAGTCCCCGCTGACGTTTCCTTCACTGCTCGAAGAGACCAGTCCAAAAGTAGCATTAACGGGAGAAGTCGGAGTAAAAGTAGGAGCAAAGCAGACGGTCACGAGAGACAGGTGAACGGTAAACAACTGCCGGATCTGACGCCGCAGAAGTCAGACTATTCACAAGGACAGAGCCGTGTGAGCAATGAGCCAAACCTTAACATTAAAGGAACGGCAAGGCTTTTAAAGGGTAAAACGGCGGCAAACGGTCACGTTGAGTCATGCCAGAGACAGACAGATGTGAAATGTGAGCATCATGGCAAAGAGGCCAAAAAGAGAAGAGCTGTCACGGTGGACACCTCCAAGGCAAAGACGTCTCTGGAGGCGCTAAAGATGAGCATCAGACAGCTGAAGTGGAAAGAGGTGAGAGAGCCATTGTGTTCTGACACCACATAAGTTAACCTTTGACTTTATCGATTTGCCATTCCGATTACAAGGGCTAATCATACAGTTGTAGCGTGCCAACCGTTGTTAGGGTATTCTTAGTATTCTCAGTTGTGTGATGTGTGGTCCTGGTAAACCCTACGTTATGGGGACAAAATGTCCCAACAAAGATGGCAATATCCGAAATCCTTGTCCTTGTGGGGACATTTTTAGTCCCCATGATGAGGAAACAAGCTTATAAATGATACAAAATGATTTTTTATTTTTTTTTGAAAATCTAAAAATGCAGAAAGTTTTCTGTAATGGGTAGATTTATGTGTATGGTTGGTGTAGGGTGATAGAAAATAAAGTTTGTACAGTATAACAGCCATTACGCCTATGGAATCCCTGGTTAAAAAAAGTACACTTCCATAATGTACTTGAAGTGTTTTATTTTCACGCACTAATTTTGTACTTAATATACTAAAAATGTTTCTTTAGTACTTTTTAAGGTAAACTTAAGATCAACTAAGCATACTCAACTGTGCTATTTTGGGACATCATGAATATGAACTAAAATACGCTTTTAACATACTATCTCTGTATTTAAAAACAATATTTAGTTACTTAGTGTTGCAGTCAAGACCACCTAATCCGAGACCAAGACAATTGTGTGTTGAGACCAAGACTTTGAGGGGTTGAGACCAAGATAAGACCAAGACCAAGGCAGGTCGAGACCGAGTCAAGACCAAGACCAGAATTAATTAATCTAAAGGTTCCACATTTACTGCCTGAGAAATGCCTTATTTTAAATCATTAAATACAATAATAAGACACTTACAGAGCTGTTACCAATCAAAGGAAATCTCTAACAACAAAATTCATCTTTGCACTGCAGTGGTGGCACAGAAGCTGCATCTGAATTGGTACAATTACAAATGCTTAAATATTAATACATTAATACTTAAAAAAAAGTTTATTGAATGTTTGCATAAAAGCAATATAATTTTTTTCAAAACAGCTCTCTTGCTCTTGTGATATTGCTTAGTTATAATATAATATAATATAAAAATCCACATCTCATACACTCAAGCACTCATACTCTCAAGTACTTTTTTTTACACTTGAATCTTGAATTTTGTGGGTGTATGTATTAATTTTGGTGACAATTTTGACACAATCCATCAATAATTTCTTCTTAGCCAGGGGGCCGTAGCCCACTACGGGGCCTCAACAAACTTCCAAGGGGGCCTCAAGATGACTTAAAAAGTACTCAGCGGCATGTGCTCCGGTGTTGTGTTGTAAATAATGGCGTCGTCAATATTGCTTATTAATTTGAGCCCGAATGAGAGCCAGAGAATATTAGTGCAGAGAATCGCACAGACCCTGTGCAAGCACGGCTCTTACAGGACGTTTCAGAATGTTATGCTTTTTTGTTTGTTGTTGTCTCATACTTTTAGATACACTGTTATTTGTAAATGCTACTACTTATGTAGCTATGTGAAAAATATCTGTCTGTCTATATGCATAAAGTGTATAATTGGAACACAGTTGATCGATGGAGCTGATGATCTGAATGAGAGAGAGAGATGCAGAGCGTGTGCAGAGCAGGGGGACGTGAGGAACAGGATTAAGAACCGCTGCTTTAGAACATTGATTTTGAAACTTGTGAATCCATCAGAATCGTTAGAAGACAGAATCGCGATTCATATATGAATAGATTTTTTCGTGCAGCCCTAGTTTTGATGGCATGGCAACAACTCTTCCTCTTCTCTAAAGCAGCGCAACATAGCCTCGACCCCTTTGTTGCATGTTCCTGGGGGTGGGGTTTATCAGGGTTTGTGATGTCACAAACCCGGGAAGAAGCTCGTTGTAGTCCCTACCAGCTGTAATTTTAGGCATTAAACTGCCATAACTTTAATAGACAATATCCACATTTGCATTGAACTTTCAGCATTGTAACTTTGCAGATATTGTTTATGCTCAAACCGCAACATTACACACTAACTAAAGTTTAAAAAAGCGAAATTGCAATCAACCACCCCTTTAATATACATGCTAAGCTCTAAAATAGTAGAGGGGGTGCCTTCAAATAATGTTGTGGACAATAGGGGGGCAGTAAAGTCAAACATTTTTAGATCCACTGGTATAAATCAAATTATTTATTTTTTGTTATTCAGTTATTTAATTAGTTATTGATTGCATTTGAAGCAGGAAGTTTTACATCCAATCACATTAATGATGGTTGTAAATAAATCAGACAATATTCTGGTAATTTAGTGATATCCCGCAGTTGTGGTCTTGACCGGTCTTGAAACAAAATCCCGAGTCCTCTTATGCTAAGTTCACACTACACGACTTTAAACGTCGGCAGATCGCTGTGCTGTTCAGACTACATAACTTGATTGTCTGTCTTTAAGTCGTTGTGGTGTTCACAATACGTGACTATGTAAATGATCTGCAACCGGGGGTTACACACTACACTGTCCAAACTTTTCTTTAAGCCAAGTTGCTGCTGTTATTTTTTTTCCGGTGACCTCAACCCATGCCTTGCTCTCTCATTGGCTGTAGCTCGTCACGACAACTGACACCACGTGATGTTGAGTCAGCCGACCGGTCCAGATACTGTATTTGGCATGCTAGATATTTGTTTGCCGTCGGCGATGCATCAGCGAGCCTCTTTGATGCGTCGTTGTGTAGTTCACATATAAAGATTGCCGAGCACTGATCACCCGCTGATTTTCCCCCGATCAAAGCCCAACCTGTCGGCGAGCTTGTTAACTTGCAAATCGGGCTTAAAATCCTGTAGTGTAAACTTGTCATTAGTCTGAGACCAAGACAAGACTGAGTACAAATGCGGTCGAGACCGAGACAAGACCAAGACCATCAAAAAATGGTCTTAAGACCAGTCTCAAGACCGGTCTCAAGTACTACAACACTATAGTTACCACTTGTACAATTGAGTGTACTAGTGTATGAAAGTTGGGTTCAAGTTTAAGTGTACTGCATCAGTAAAACCGATCCACACATTTGCTTGAATATGAATGGATGAATCCATTGGACTTATCTACATTTTCTTTAGGCTTCTGCTATGTAAACAAACACTTACTCATGACTTGTAGGCTTAATATTTCAACAGCCATTGCCAGTCTTTAACCTTGTCCTTCAACGCATGTGACAAACACACGCATATGGTTACACTTGACCGTCTATGTAAAGTCACTCTGCATTAAAAAAAGAAACACTCATTAATAAATTGATAAGATGTCAAATGATACCATGTGGTGCACAGCACCTGGCAGGTTGGAGAGAGTGAATGGTTCTGTTGAGTGAATGTCTACACCCCCTTCTACTCGTATCCACTGAAATATTATGAGCCTTTGTAATTCAGCGCTGCCTTGTTAAAAGGTAGGTTTCAAGTTTAAGCGTATCCATTATACCTTTTATCCTGTCTGCTACACCAAAGACCGTTTCAAGGGCAGGAGGAGTTCCCACCTGTGGTTTTAAAAAATTTTATGAAGACTATCAGTCCTTGAAGTTATTTAGAAATAGTGCTGGGCGGTATGACCAAAAATTTATATCATTATATATCATTTATATCATTATATCAAAATTATACCGGTTTCACGGTACATGACAGTATTTTTTTTTCAGTGACATATACCGGTATTTTAAAAATTCATATCATATCAAAAATAAACACCGGTATTCGGTATGAACCGGTATACCGCCCAGCACTATTTAGAAACATAGATCCAAAGATCTAATTAGGACATTTAGAAACAAAGTATGATACAGGCTAATCTGTAAGCACTTGATACAGACTCATTAAGACCCGCTACATGAGATAAAGAGTCAGAATTGGCTGTCAACAAGCTGGCAAACTGATGGCAGTTGTTGTCATTACCCATTCAATGTCTTAACTGGGTTCAACTTAAGTTTTCTGTGCAACTAAGATGGGCCTTTGCGAAACTGGATGCTGTACGGCAGACTAATCATCTATGTAGATCATCTGTGGTCTGTAGTAACTGGTAGTACTGTGAATATCTTAAACAATTTAGTTGCATTTGCGCGTAAATAAACCATTTACGTATTTGGATCTGTGTTTCTGATCTAAAAAGGTCTTATGCCATTATCTAATTTGCCGTCATCTAAATCTGAGTACATTGCATTTACGTTTTTGATGCGTCATGGTTGCAAAGACACATAAAGGGTAGTAATGCAGTTGAATGCTGACTTTCACCATATGGTTGTGCCTTCACAGTGTTAAATGATTAAATTCAATCTGGGATAATCCCACATGCCTGGATTCCCACTGCTCTCCATTCCTGAATGGTACGAAATAATAGGACACTATGCATTGTAGATCTACACGTGTTGTAATTTTCAAATTGTATGTACTAACCTACACATACAGTACTCAGCACAAAAGCACATACATGTACCACACTGGGGCTCAGCCAGACCAGGTAAACATATCAGTTTGTCTGTAACGTGAGAAATATCTGAAGGGGGTCCAGGCTGATGTGACAGGGGTAATGATCCTCCCTGGGGAGAGATGATTGGTTGGTTGGTGTTAACGCCATGGCAGCTTCCATGGTGAGTAACAAATAGAAATACTATAAAAGAGCAATTTAAAAACATATACATGGTTTTTAAAGTTTGCTTGAGATAAAATCTTTAAAATTTAGTTTTCTTTGAAATGATTGCTGAGTAATATCATTTCCTAAAATAACATAAACCAGCACAATTGAATAAAATATGTTTAAGAGATACTGGACTCTGGCATGAGGAGCATAGTGGCGGATCGTCAATTGATATTAAGAACTTCTGGAATGCCTTATTCGGCCCTAGAGAGGTAAGAAAACAGAACTGTAACCTTTAGGTTTTTAAATGGTGTTCATTTTATAGCCATTTCTAATACGAGAACACTTTTAATGAAAGTTAAAGTATAACAAATCAGAATGAAAAAAACAATAAAACTTCACTTAAGGCGCTTTTCCACTGCATGGTACGGCACGGTACGGCTCCCACTGCTGATCACGGAGAGAATCGTCACTACCTGCGTCACTGAACTTGCGCCACAAACACAAAAGAACCGCTAGAACCGCTAG